AATGCAAAAAATATTCGAACAAAACGACCATCCAAGAAGCTGAGCACAAAACTTTATGGACCCTTTCCAATACTCGAAAAAACAGGTGACCGCGCTTTTAAGTTGGAGATTTCCAAATGATGGAAAATACATCCCGTATTTCACGTGTCACTCCTTGAACTCTGCCGAACATCAATTCGACCAGAGAGGGAACGGAGGCCGCAGGCACCAGAAGCGATTGATGGCGATCTAGAATGAGAAGTCGAGAAGATCGTTAAGAGCGAGATTCTCTCCTACAACAAAAGAGTCTCTAGACGCAATAAACGCATCTGAGAGCTCAAATATTTTATTAAAAGAAAAGGGTGTTTGGAGGATGAGAACACCTGGGAACCGCCGGAGCATCTTGAGCATGCTATCGACTTAGTGGAGGAATTTCATAGGGATAACCCGGAAATGCCATGGCTGAGGTAGGATTATCAGGAAAGGTTTTCCTAGGCGTAGACAAGTAAACGCGTAAAGGTTTTTCACCCTACCTGGATAGAGTCCTAGACAGAATTTTCTTTGCGACTATAGAAATGTACCATATATAGATTACTTCAGAACATAGAAAGACTCGAGGACGAGTCTTGAAGAGGAGGGAGCTAATGTTACACATAGAAGCGTAATCAGTGCAGCACGTGACTAAATGCATAAGGTCACGTGTTTGACTCTGGGCCCTGCTATAGTTATCGTAACGATATTATATTATCGCACGAAACGATAAGGCATCTATGTAGCCCGCTCCACGGAGATACGAGGCATGCGACCAAGGGGTTTTCGCTGGATAACATAGATGGAGCTCCGCTCTACAAGATAAGACTTAGTTGGTTCAGATTGGTCAGTTAGTTATAGAGCTATGACCTCTGCAAGTCTATGTGCAATTACAAGAAGTAATATGCATGTCCCTACAGCTGGCATAAGCTAGAGTCATCCGGAAGACCTAGTTACGATTGGTTATTAACTACTCACTAGTCCAGTTAGTTGTCTTCGTCATGCACTCTAAGCTATGCACATAGAAGAGTCATTGATAAGTCCTTTGACGGAGCTGATCACTCCACTAAGGAAGAGAGTGGGGAAGTTAGTTTTCAGAGTCAAACGGAGTTCGCACTCCAAAGACACTGAAGCGTTAGTATGACAGGTACATAGTCAGTAAGAGATTGGATGTAGGCTGTGACCACCCAGATGCAGAATATAAATATCGAGGTGCCTTCCTAGCTTTTTAACATCCTCCGTCTCCGCTACACCTCCGGCAATTGAAAACTCAACACCACGGTTTTTATTGTGAGTTTGTTGTTTCATCACGAAACTTTCTCCACCCTCCTGCCTACTCCTGCCTTTGGCCTCGGCCTAGGGGAGTCTGGCTCTTCTCTCCTCTCATGCCCTGGGTATTCACTTCGGTCTACCATCACAGGGCCGTCTCTCTCCTTGGGTGTTGGTCGTTCAGAGACCCTACTTGGCTGGCTGGCAGGTGGTGGGATCCCTTCCACTACAGTGACGCTATCTCTCCCAGAAGAAGGGACTACATGAGAGACGTGGTAAAACACCTGCTATGCTTTGCCTAGGCTGTGGTTGATAATCTTCCTTACTTCCCCTTTCTCCTCCCCCTCCCCCTGGCAGGGAGTCCTCTCCTCCTCCTGAGTTGGCCTCGCTTAGCCTTCTCACAGTCGGCAACCCCTCAACCACCATTGCCAGACAGCTGAGACTACAGTTGCAGTAGGGAAGAACAGCCAACAGGCTACAGTCAATCTCCCTATTCTCTTGTCTCCCTAAGAGGCTGCCTAGTCAGACACGAACGCGATTACTGATAGACCATGTTTAAGGTCTTTGGGTCTACCCCACCACTCTCCTCTCCCTACGGTCGGATTGGCTGGCACCCTACTGCTACACCTTCCCCTCCCCCCGGTTATCGCCCACGGCCGGCTGGTCTCCTTCTTCCCTCCATGGTATTGCACTGTCTCCGCGGAGTGGGTCTGGGGGGGGCCCCCTATCTTAGCACGCTTTGTGCATCGCTTCCCGCTTGAATGAGTGGACTCGCCCTTCAGGGCCTAAGTGGCTTGCTACTAACCTTTCTTTTGTCTTTTTGGGATTTCTCAGCGGGTTTTCCTGGCCCTTCCTGCTTTCTTCTTAGTTAGGATTTCCTTGTTCGTCCATCTAGCCGGGTTTGGGTTTCTTTTCTTTGAGGCGAGATGTGCTGTTGGCTCCATACCAGAGGGGCTTGGGGGATTGGCTTTTTCCTGTGGCAAGAGGAGGGATATGAGTTTTTTGTCGTCCTAGCTAGCGCTCCATACGTTTTTTGGACCCTAAACAAATAATCAATGAGTTAAACAAAAAAAAAACCAATCCCTAGCTTTTTAAGTCTATCATCAGCCACCGGAGAAGAGATCTTATCAATATATTTGTTCTACCTGACTTCTATCTTTACAAGCCTTCTTGACTATCTCCGAGACAGAAGATTACAAGGCCTAGTGTATACTCACTTGACTTTAGAGTTACCTACCCCCTAACAGTAACTCCACCAATATTGATATTGGAGAGAGATTCAATATACTGTTAAAATGCCAGCATCATATAGAACCAGGATGCCAAGTATTGGATACTGCACTGAAAGGACACCAGTACAATTGGGCATCAAAGTTAGTACTTAGCCAGAATCTCGCTAGGAGCTACAAAGGGAATAAAGTGTACTTATAAATGCATCAGGGGGTATTAGGAGTAGTAGAGGGTATGTAGCAGGGGCCGGTGGTAGGTGGCCAGTAGCAGAGAGAGGTGGTAGAGGGAGCTGGTAGCAGGGGGAATGGGTGGTTACTACTAGAACTATCACTCTCAATCTCAGGATCCTGACTACTTGTTATTACTCACTTAGGATACAATCTGGATATAGAACCACTTAAACTAAGCTTCTGGATGCCAGTTTATAGGATGCAACCCGGCATGGCACCTAGGTACTAGATGCACAGGACATACCAGATGCAAAATCCTGCCTGCTTGTGTCAGGACATATGGTAAGCATATTTGACTTAAGAACAAGTTTTACTGATCCGGCCTTATTTAATGAAGACTCCAAGCTTGTCCTTTTCCCTTTCCCTCAATACCTTAGGATGGCCAGAATATATTATTGAATTTAAACTTTAGAATCAATTAATTCAAGGAGAGAAGATTGCCAATTGGGATCAAGCATATTCATACAATATGTAGTAGATTGTAGAACACCATCCTATGTAGAACTTGTTATTTTGAGGTAGAGCTTTTTTGCATTTAACAAGACATGTCTTCTGATATCACTTACTGTTGATTTGGAGATACTAGTTACTTACTCGATTTGCCTAAAAGTCATTGGATCCTTGAAGCAGTGATAGGCAATAATGATAGCATGTTGTCTTGAAGTTATTTATTTTCCTATAAAACCATCCAATTTCACTTATTGTCATTCAGATTGTATTTTTTGAACTGTGATAAACCTTGTTTGATAGTGGGGTGTGTAGGTGCTATTCAGACCAATCCTTGAACACTGTTCATTGTTGTACAGAGGTGTTTGTAGAATGGGCATTGATTTGAACTAGTCAACTAGAACTCCTTAGTAAAGTACCTCCCCAAAAGTGTTGCTGAAATGGGCTTTTTACACCAAAAACATTGATTTTTCGCTACTGGTAGTTTAGGAACCACAAAAGATTTTACAACCTGACTTCTGGTATGTAGTTACAATAATCCCACCCTACTCCTACTTAACTCTTAATAACTTTGGGGAAGAATTAGAGAAGTTATGCAGTCCTAAAGTTTTGACTTCACTGAAAAGCCTCATTTTACATACAAAAAATGGCATAGCAACGGGTATTGTCAACTTTAGAGACTTGTAGTTTAGCCCCATAGAATAAATTGACAAAATAAATA